ATATAATTTTTATTTTACCTTATTTTATTTTTTTTTTTGCTCTTTAAAATCTTTTTATTTATTTATTGTTTATTATTATTATAATTCATTAATTCATTTATTTATTTTTTTGGCTTAGTCCCTTGTTATAATTATTACTATCATCAATTATTATATATCACATACAAATTTCTAAAATTTACAGTTCTTTTGATTTGTTATACACTTTTTTTAATTTAATTTTTAGTCAATTAAATTTCAGTCGATTTAATTTTTGAGTGGTTTCTTAGATTTTAAAACAACATTTCTATATTTTTTTTCCCAAATTTTGGCAAACCATTTTATAGTCAATATTATTAGTCAACTTGTTAGATTACACTCTCCATGCCAGATGAATAAGATCCAGCCCTGGACGCCAGATCCTGTCAGAAAATGTTTGTTTCTTTGGGTATCCGGACAACAAGCCAGCAGAGCCGCACAATACCCAAACCGGTTAACCAGTATTCAACTTAAAACAGTCTCTTATCAATATAGGAGTTAACTGAGGAAACCAGAGAGGAGCAGAAGCAGGACATGAAGTAATGATAATAAAGAAAGAGCAGAGTTTATTGATGAATCTTAGTTGCGTAATATTGAATGCTCTGACCTGGGCAAATCCAACAAGTGTTGTTATTCCACAAACAACAGCAATGGACAATTACTGCTTCACAACATTGTCCACATTGAAATGGAGACATTCTCTTACTCTTGAAAACAAGTGTTACTTGAATTCACACAGTCATAAGATTATAACAAGTCATACGATTATAATTTATTATAATTTCAAAAGGGAAATAATAATAAAGCAATAAATATAGCAAATTAATAATAATAAAATATAAAAAACATAATAAAATGACAATTCATTATAAATAATAATCAAATCATTAACTAATGATAAATAAAATAAAATAATAATTAATAATATAGTGTTATCCTACATTAATTAAAAATATTTTATCATTTATATTGTTTTAATTATACAACTATTATTAATAATAAAAACAATAAATATTGTTTACATTTTCATGGTTTTATATTGTTTTTTTTTTTTGTTTTTTTTATTGACTAAAATCTTACACGCTTTGTGTCAGTTTTTTTAATTTAATAAATTTGTATTTTTGGAGGTTTGGTGTTGCCACCTTTAATGAAAATTTTATTTGCACCTTTTACGTTTTTTGGCCGAGCACCCAGTTAAGAGGGATGTGCGTACTTTTGTACAATTTTTCATTGACTAAAATCTGCAATAACATATTCCAAAATATTAATTTATGCATTTTTAAATATTAATTTGTACATTCATAAATATGACTTTCCTATTAATTCTTATTCTAATTAAAGTTATAGTATTATCTTACATTAATTCAACATATTTTGTTATAATTAGTTTTATTCAATTCTGAAAGTAGTATTATTATAATTATTAATAAGATTATAACAATATGGAAAAAGGAAAAAAAGAATGAACCTATAAATATAGGAAAATAAAAATAATAAAATCTAAAAACATGATAAAAATGACAATAGATAATAAATAATAATCAAATCATTAACTAATCATCAATAAAATGATATAATAATTAATATTATAGTATTATCTTACATTAATTCAAAATATTGTATTGTTAATTATAATATTTAAATAGACATTTATTATAATAATTATTATTAATGATAATAATAAAGTTATAGTATTATCTTACATTAATTCAAAATATTTTATTGTTAATTATAATATTTAAGTAGACATTTATTATAGTAATTATTATTAATGATAATAATAAAGTTATAGTATTATCTTACATTAATTCAAAATATTTTATTAGTAGTATTATGAAGTTATAAAACTATTATTATTATTATTATCAATAAGATTCTAACAATATGAAAGTAAATAATAATAATAATAATAAAGCAATAATTAAAGGTAAATAATAATAAAATATATAATAAAAAAAAAAAATATATATATATATATATATATATATATATATATATAAGATCTATATATTTAAGATCTGTCACTGACATGATTTTCGTGAATACAGAAGACTGGGTGGGTATTTTTGCATTTCGGCGGGTTTTGGATACTTTTTGAGCTGGAATCAGTCAGCTACATCTGGCAACACTGTGTGTGCTTTTGGTTTCATTTTCACTGCTAAGAGCGGTTAATTTCCCGCGCGGCTCCCAAACGATCACTCTGTGCCACAAACTGAATGTTATTTACAACTTCATGACCTGTTATTCACAGCATATGCAGGTTCTGTTCACTAAAGTAAACTTCAATCAGAGGCGCGCGTACCCGCCCTCCCTGTGGTAACAGCTGAAGGTCAGCTCACGTCACGTGAGATTCTGCGGTCACAAATACGTTACATGAAGACAGAAAAGTCATTTTTGGGGTGAATTATATCTTATAAATGCAGCATGTGACCCTTTCAACACCATTTGGAGGTGTCCACGTTGCTGAACAACGTATGTA